GTGTTTTCAATGACTGATGTGGTTCGCTCAAGAGAGCTGGCTAACATCCTTTTCAGGCACCGCCCATCAGCTCTCTTTTCAGAGTTTTTCAGCTGTGTTTTGTAGGCTAGTAATGTACTCACTACCATATGCGCAGTGGCAGGCCTGCTAACTATCCTCGTTAACCCCCGAGACCGAGGTCTACTTAAGCAGCTGGCCCGCTCTCACGCTCAGCTGGTAGTTTTTCCACACACACCTACATACACCGTCCTACTTCTTCTCTGATGCTCACAGCCACATCATCATTTCTTTCTGCGTGTTCTGTGTAGGCTTTGTTACTAACTCCATGCGCCACTTTAGGAGCAGCACTGTTAACGTCAACTCAAACTGAACGAACTTACCAGAGAAAATCCACAGCCCGGTCGTTCTGTTGACAGTAAATCTACCGCCTTTTCATCAACCGAGTTCCGTAAATCACCTTTGTTTCAGTAACCAACCGAACATTTCATATTTAACGAACGGAAAACTACTAACCGAAATAACCAAGTTGATTCACGGAACATACCCAGAATGAGAAGTAATAATTTCAAAATCATCCAGAGACGTAATCTACTGGAAGGGTTAAGGGTGAAAACAAATAATGTTCATAGTATTTTTCCCATACTCTCATCTCAAACTATGATACCCGAAGGTTTTTCACGTGAAAAGGGTACCTACTCCTAATTCAAATCAATAGAGCAAGTTGTTTTTGAAACAAATTGCAATTCTCTACATTGATGCATCGACACCTAGACCACGGGTTTTTCTCAATATTATTCAACTCGCTCACAATGAAAATTTGAAATTTGGTACTTACACTGCATACTTTTTACGCAAAAATGAATACTCAGCTAACATTTTCAAAATTCTCATCGCAAGTGTATCATAATGAGGGGGTTAGGTTAGAACCCCAGTTTTTGATTTGGTTTTGAGGAGAATGGATATCGGTGTGATATATATCAAATTATCAAATTTTTTGATTCTAATAAATCGAAAAGCAATATGTTAAAAATAAATTGTCATCAGGAGATGGGGTTTTTTTGATTCACATAACTTTATTATGATACACGTCTCTGACGGAAATTCTGAAATATCGAGCTCAGAATCTTATCAGGCGTTGGAAGTTCATGCAGTGTACTGAATTTCGATATTCCATATACCTTTGAAGACATCCATTTCGATGTTTGGTATTACTATCGGCAATAACCTTTCTTGGGAACATCACGTGAGATCAATTGCTAAAAGTGCTTCTCAAAAACTTGGTTTTCTGTTTCGGGCCAGGAGCTATTTCACTTTCAGTCAGCTGCTTATAATCTATGAAACACAGATTTGACCTTTCCTGAAATACTGTTCCCATATTTGGAGTGCCTGCACCCAAACATACCCTGAAACTGTTGGATTCTGGCAATTCGCCTCGTGGGTGACGTCTCGCTCACAAACTCACTAATTTTTCTGGAACACCGTAAGAAAATTGGCGATCTGGTTCTTTTTCATAGATATTTTCATGGACGATGCTCTTCTGAAATATCAACAATTGTTCCTCCCTTGGCAGTCTCAACGAGATTAACTCGTCGAGTTAATGCTTCGCACCCCTTCGTGGTCACTTTGGAGACCTGCAGAACATCTCTTTCCAAAGACTCGTTCATTCAACGAACAGCGATGCTCTGGAACACTTTGCCAAGGGAGGTTCTCCCCGAGGCATATAACCTCCAGAAATTTAAGAAGAACCCCAATTCCTACCTTATTATTTCCTTAGGTTCTCACGATGTTCTCTGAACAACACAGGATATCCCTTTTCGTCGAACCAGAACATAAAAAAAGAAGCAGTTTAGAAAATATTCAGGAAAATCCGTCCTTAGGGTACCGATGAATTGGTGGAACTACTAGCCCTATTGATATGAACTATAGGCATACGTTTTCACGTTAAACACCTGAAAGTATAATATTTCGTTATCAGAATATGAAAACGAAATAAAAACTTGGATTGTCCTCCACTCCAGAATGGTGCCATCGATATTTTCAAATTCTGAGTTCAAAATTTGATTGAATCATCAGATGTACCAAATTTCATGATTTTTTATTGTTGCCCTATTTTGAGGGTCGGAGCACCCTTATGAAGCATTTTCGACAATTATGATTGGAACTTTTTTTATAAAAATACCTCAGGAAACACCTTCTGAAATATTACCAATGTTCAGGAACCACTCACTATATATTTATATAAATATTGGGATCATGAAACCCGTGACACCCTCTGACGTTAGGGCTGGATCGTACCTAGGGAGGCTAGGGATAGGAGGAAGGGATTGGAATTATTTTGTTATAAGATTTTAGTTTTTGAGAACACTTCCTTTGGCAATGAATTCCAAAGCTTTGCCGTTCAATAAACAACGCGTTTTGATGATGAAGTGTTCGACATATCTCAAGGTTTACTTCAAACGAATGCGCTGACTGATCTAGTCGAGTTCATCTGACTGGTATTGATAGTGATGAAATGATAGCATAGATTTCTGAAAAACATTTTCCGTGGGAGTATGTATATTGAAAAGTGAAGGTCGCCTATCTGTCTACGGTGTTCCAATGATGTCAATGAATTAGTGAGTGTGGCATCACCCATCAGGAGAATGGTTCTTCTCAGTTCTCTGGAATCTAAGAATATCAGAGCCTTTTTGGTGCTGAACTGCTGAACCCAATATCAATCCAGTAAATTTATACATCACAGTATGCGTCAAATCCGGTAGTTCTGATTGTTTGCAGACTTGTTCATGATGTTGGCCCAAATAATAATCCAAGTTTGTGACCTCGAGCGCCAAACGCAACTTTGTCAAAAATCGAAAAGAGTGCGAAAAAATCGTTTTATTCTGTTTTTGGCGATTATAACCCTAATGGACTTGTTTTTGGAAATAACTCTCTCTGAACGTTTTTGAAGTAGACCAAATTTGCTACAGGATGATATAAAAACTGTCTTTGTAGACTCACTAGTCTCCGAGATCCAGCATTTCGGAGTTTATCATTTTTTCGAACAAATTTCGTTCTGATATTGGATTTTGACCCTGATTATACAATCGAAGCCCTGTACTTTCATGATAAGATAATAAGAAAGAAAATGAGGAGTGTGAAGGAGGATGTTCGAGCTGAGCTTCGAATAATGGAATGAGAAAGAGAAAGATGAGTACAACAAAAGTTAATGAGTTTATTCGTTAGAAAATAGAATAATAGTAAAGATCAAAAAATTTGATTATTCCATTCCTCTTGGAAGGTCCCGATTAAGGTTCGTCTGGATCTGGATCGACGTATTGGGATGGCATATCTCCATCAGGGGATGGTGTTGAATCGTCGACGTATTTTTCCCACAAGTCATCCTCCATTTCAACATCGGACAGATCGTCGCATTCTGGGATATCTACTACTACACCATCAGGTACATTGTCACAAGAGGCCCCACTGCAGTGCCTGCAGACTGATGAGCATCCAAATCCTGACTTCCTGCAGCTGCACGCGTTCCCACAACCCTTCGTGCACCAAGAAATCATCCGCAAGAGGTGTTGTGGGGCTGCATCTATGGTCATCATTTTGGGATTGAGGCCTCGTCGCGTGGATATCCACCCCCAGGAGAGAGGGTTCAGTATGACTCCCAACTACAACTGTACCTGTTAGGGGATTGTACATGAAAATAAAAAATGATGAAAGATAATATGAAATATGAATTACTGATGCAAGGACAAATTTTCACCTGATAGTATGTCCGCAAAAAGTGAAATCGAGCAGTCACATGTACGAGGTAACCTGGCCAGATTGAAGCTGTTTTTCGTCGCAGCCCTGGCGACTTGGTGGATTTTGAAAACCTTTCAGAGTATTTTTTCATTCAGTTTTGGTTATATTTATTGTGAATAATGAAAAATCAATATGATTTTAAAGAAAAATGCGGGTAACGTGTATTGTGGTGTATAGTGGAAGCCGTGCAGATCGAGACAATTTGCTTAGTTTCTTCACACAGATAAAAGATCTATCAAGAATAAGAAGAGAGATGTGGATAGCCACCATCAAGACGAAGGATCTAACAATAGAATCAATCATGAGAAACCAAAGGATGTGTAGCAGGTACCTAAGAGAAAACCAATACCTATTAAATGTGATGGCCCTACAACCAGGCGCCATCTTGCCAACTCAAAAGTTCCGTGGTTCAGATTGCCTTAAAAGTTTGAAAACGTGCTACAGGTGCGTCGCATTCGTGACTTCACACGAACAGTACTAGCACACTCCGTCTGAGGCAATTGAAACTTCATCCCGCTAGAGTATATTCGAGTGACGCCTAAAACATTGCAAGAAATTGCGAAGTTCGAAAAAAATTATAAACTCTGAAAGGCTTAATCTCGAAAACTATTTGGTCTACGGAGACAGTTTTTGTATCATATTGTAGCAAATTTGATCTGCTTCAAGAACGTCTTGAGATTTTTCTTCAAAATCTAGTCCTTTAGATTTTTTCGAGGTTTTTTCGATTTTTGGCAAAGTTGCATTCGGTGCTCGAGGTCACAAATTTGGATCATTTAGGCCAACATCATGAACAAGTCTGCAAAAACTCAGAACTACCGGATTTGACGCATACAACCCCCATATGTTCAGGCGACAAAGTTACTGAACTATATGTGAGATCCGTATTGTAGAACAGGCCGTATCTATGCTTATAGTAGATCATGAGATGCTGTCGAGGTATGAAATAGTTTTCAGTACTTGTACGAACTAAATGGTTACAACGTTTTCATGTCGTAACCACAACTAGTTAATTCAACTTAATAGTCCTCTCATCAGTCTTTATTCAGATGAATACAAGCGGGTCTTTTCCTTCTCTGATGGTTCAGTTTCATCAATAGTGTGTAACGTATTTTTCACCCACTTCACGCTGACAAAAAACATTGACACAACGTACATAGGTACACATCTATATAGCATTCAATGTTATTTCTTTCTCCAGAATATGGTGGATGATTCTCTTCTGCATATCCCTATACGCCTGCGTCGATCTCATCATCAAAACCTGGGTCAAGTGGGACACCTCTCCTGTGCTGGTCAGCTTCGCCAGAAGCCCCACGCCCGTATGGCAGGTGCCATTTCCCGCCATCACCATTTGCTCGGAAACGAAGGCGAGACAGAGGGTTTACAATTTCACAGACGCCTATGATCGAGTCGTACACGGGGCGAATATGACAGACGAAGAGTGAGTAAAGTAGTAGTTATGTGGGAGTGAACAACCGACATTGAGTGGCGTACCTAGATCTAGTGTTCAATGATTTTTCCTACGAGCTTGTGCAAAGCAGCACTTTTTCTGCATGCGCAAAGTTGAACTCTTCCACGCAGAGTGCGGGAAAATCTCACCATTCAATCCTTTCCTATTAGACTGTTATTTCATTTGATTTGAGAAGCTGTCGCTATGTTCTTTTTTATTCCAACCGTGATTCTCGATATTTGTATTTCACCTTGAAACAAAATAAAACAATGATTTGTTTTTCAAATTACATTAGAAGTGGCTCAAAAATAACTCAACAGACATAAGAAGTGAACTTTCACGGCATTGGCAAAAAAAGTTTGTTGTCATGCAATGTTCACTTTCAATCTGCCCTGCCGCAGAATTATTATCGATAAATTTCTTTATGCTTACTAATGTTCATCAGGTACTAAATCTTTAGGAACATTGAAACATTTATTCTTTTCCAACCATAACATTGGACATTACATGTCTACATAGTTTCAAATCAATTTAAGTGACCCTTGCCAATCACTTATTGATTCCATTAACTTGATAGGAACTTTCAGAATAATTGCGATAATCACCTGTTGCTATGAGCAAAGTTAACAAAAAAGAGCGTTCTAAAATTGGTTCAAAATGAATGTATGAAATTCACCATGTATTAATTTGAATCAAATTGGTAATCAAAATCGATATTGATTTTAGGTTTACATGAAATGATAGATCATTTAGACATCGCGTGAAATTGAGAGACAAAAAAAAAATATTCAAAATTTGTGCTTTTCTGCCTAGTAAAACAAATAACAAATATCAGAAAATGGATTTGTCGAATGAAATATTGGCCACGAACATCTGTCCTTCTGCATTGAGTCAACTTTCATCAAGCCACATGAAAGGATGTTGACCCATTGAATAAAATTACCGTATATGCAATCAATTCGCAAAATGTTAATAATATTGTTCTTCTATTATAAATATTCCTTAACGAACAAATAATTGGATTTTCTATTTTTTTCATTGTCACGTTGTTTGATGTATTGTTCTTCCTATCAAGTTCAACTCAAAATCATTCAATGAGTTATAATTTCTCAATTTTTTTTTTTATCTGATATGAAGCTCGTGGAAAAAATGTGATTCCTAACACGTGCGCCTGCTTCGCGTTGTCCGTCTAACAATATTTGCGTGCGAAGTTGAACCTTGCGTATTTGTTTCTAGAATAGGTATTTAAAGGGTGAAGACATACTCGTCATGCCCTGGAACATATGATGAAATAATATGAGACATACGATCCTTGTTCAAGAGATGAAATGAGTTTTCATGTACGCCTTCTTCATTGAGCGAGTGTAAACTTATTTTTCATGAAAACCCGAACAGAAGCGTATCATTGAATGCATAATATATATAATTATGTTATTTCATTTATGTATTTCAAGAAAAAGCAATATTCACCATTCATCGATAACTGACAGCATATTCTCATATACCTACCCATGTTCATACAAAGGTAACGAGATGAGATGAGTATTCTATGCATTCAACACCCTTGTTTTTGTCGATTATGTCTCAAGAATATGAAATGATAGGCCTGCCATAGTAGTTCTCCATTCACTTCCTTGAATCAACAAATTGAAAAGATAAACTTTTGGTATAAGAGTATTTTCATCGGACTTGTTATATTATTAATCTAGATTATATAATGGATGATATAAAGCACTGTGATGAAGAATCATCATTTTCATTAGAGGGGTGTGTTCAATAGCTGCAATCATCATCAAGCCAATGATATAACATAGTAATATGAGTTCGTTTTGAGTGTTGAAGTTGGCAATTTTGAGCTATGCAATGTAACAACTCTGAATCACTGGAAATATTTCACAGTTCGAAACTCCCAGATAGCACAATGTCATTCGTAGAACGTTCATAGAATATTCTTCGAGGATATTTGAATATTCTCAGAATATTCTCACAATATTTTAGGGACTTTCTATACACATCCAAATATTCTAAGAATATTCCTAGTATACTGAGGGAGAAGGAAGAAAATAAAAAAAAAAGCATTGTTGCTAGATGATGATAGGTTGTGTCAGGGTGAACATTATGAATATTGGTGCAAGAATAGGAACATCGATATCATATATTTCGATACGATTCTGAATATCCTCAGAAAAAAAAAAAAAAATATTCTAAGAATATGTTGAATTGAATGTTCATAGAATATTCGTTGCAGAATGATAATATTCTATGATCATTCTGAGACGATTTGATTAGAATATTCTGAAAAGTATATTTGCTGTCTGGGCTGTAACAAGTCTTGATTCTTCTTGTATGAAGTGTTATAACTATGGAACTATATGGAAATGAAGTCTCCTACAGTTCTATAGAGTGACTTGCATCATCTCTTGGTCAGTACTGAAACTTTCAGCTGTTACAGTATAGCACGTGAAAGCTCACGAAATCCATTTTCTTTTCCATTCTAAAACCATTTTCAATATTCAGAATCGACATTTTATATTTAGTGTTCAATCACTCTCTGAAAAGAGCTGCACATTTGTGAGATATTCTGAGCACTTCAACATTGACTACTATCTGAACTGCTAATGTCAAGAAACAGGCTATATGCTATCCACAAGATTGAACTGTAGTATGAATCATACGCATTCAGGACTTATCATATATATTACCCACTCTTAGTCATGTTTCCAGACACCAAGAAACATGACTCGATGTCAGTATATATAAGGTGCTTCACGGTGAATGAAACATTATCTGTTGAATGAAAGCATCTCGAAGATGACATAATTGATGAAAATGTTATCCAGATACTTTTAATTCAATGTTTTATCCTATGTGAAATGCCTCTTGTATGTTGAAGAATAGAAGGAAAGCTCGAAATCGCTTTTATTTTTTGGACTTCTTCCAAATATTAATCTTGTATGTTGTAGAAGCGTGGCAAGGGTGGAGCAAGGGGATAGGTCAGTTTTTATTGTCACGAAAGAAGGGGGTGAGTATTGGGTACACTGAATTTAGGGGAACAGGTGCAAAGTATTCACTACCAGGTCAACAAACATCAATTCGGGTGACCTAGTGATCGATACGTTACACCTGTCTACTCAGAGAAAGTGTACCCAATACTCCCCCCTCTTTTCTCGTGACTACGCCCAATGCTGACCTACCACCATGCCTCTCTTTGACCACGCCTTCTCCAACACATATTCCCCACTTTCATGGAAATTCGGCACAGATCCCCCATTGCTCATCTACTATCACTTGTTATTGATTTTCAGATGGAAACGTTTCTCCGACAGTTCTTTGATATGCGACAATCATCTATATACAAGTGGAGAAAAAGTTACGGGATTCGATACCATCGAATATCTTATGAGTGTGAGTAAGAATTTCGAGATTTCACTAGATTATGCAAGAGAAGCCTCATCAGATGAATCAAACACGAGCAAATCGATAGTTAATCTAAATCCCCAACCCTAGGTATACCGGGTGATTTTCCAAGGTGGCTCAACCCGTTAACTTTTTTATGATTAGAATTAGTGATACGAAATTTGTCGGTTTTGAGTTATAGTTCAATTGACATTTTCTGACATATCTACTTGCTTCGGAGTATTACGGGTTTGTCCCAAAATGACCCCAACTCTCGATTCTGCATTTTATTTGTATTTCATTCCATGATCGGTTGGGGATCATCATTACGAATTCAGAGATGTAGAGGGTTATTTCAAACGGTTACAAAGATATTTATTTGCATCCGAAGTTTCCATGCCCAATAGATGTGATGGCGTTATTTCGAAACTTCTTTCTCTGTCACACTCATTGAGCATCTTGAATGCAAATATCTCCGTGATCAGTCGAAATAACCTTATTAAAACTGGTATCTTTCCATTTAAAAATCGAAAGTTGGCGTAATTTTTGGTAAAACGGGAAGAACAGCAATGCAGAGAGTGTCATAGAATGTCAATTGGATTATTCAGGAACCCCAAATCTCGTTTCACTACCTTTAATAGTAAACAAAAAACGAGTAAACTCATCCAGCAGGCTACCAATTACCGATTCCTTAGTAGTATATTATCAAAATTGCAGAGGACTCAATACCAAGACTCATTTATTCTACAAAAGTGTGGTCTCGAACAATTACAACGTAATAGCCATTTCGGAAACATGGCTGAAAGATGGTGTCCTTGACAGTGAACTCTTTCCAGAAAATTATCGTGTATATCGCAAAGACAGGTTAAATTGCCGTGGGGGTGGTGTACTTTTAGCTGTTGATATGAACACTATTCACTCCGAACGTCACAGTCTGGAGTCTCCTGTGGAAAAGATTGATCTCATTTGCATACGTATATCTCTGAAAAATAACATATCATATTTCATAATCATTGTCTACATCCCACCAAACTCCAGCTTAAGTGAATATGAAACACTATTAGAAACATTCGAAAACTTTGAAGCCATCAACCGTTCCATCATACTAGGAGATTTCAACATTCCTGAACTGAAGAAGCATTATGATGACATCGACAGTCCCGTTACGAACATAGTAGCTCGTCTTAAGTACTTTCTAGCTTTCTCAGATCTTGTACAAAATAATAAAATAGTGAATTGTAATGATAGGATATTAGATATAGTATTATCACCATCTTCCGCAGATTGCTTAGTAACATGTGAAAATGACCCTCTAGTACCATTAGATCCTCAGCATCCAGCAATTGTAATTGAATTCCAAGATATTCGTTGTGTCAAAAACAATTTTTCCTCTCATATTGATCGTTTAGATTTTAGGAAAATCAACTGGGAAAAATTCAATCAATTACTGACCGAATTCAACTGGACTATAATTGGCTCTTATTCGGATGTTAATATTGCTTGCGAGTTTTTCAGCAATACATTGAGAAATATAATCAAGAGCTGTGTACCATTATCGAAAAAGAGAAAATATAAATATCCTGTATGGTTTAACCAAAGCATTATATACAACATAAAATCTAAAAATCACTATTTGAAAATGTATAGAAAACATAAGATCAACTTCTTTTTAGCTCGTATTAAAAATTTGAGAAGAGCTATTAAAACTGAAATTGCAGTGGCGTATCAAACTTTCATCGATAACTCTGAGAGTAGTATCAAAGACAATCCTCAAAAATTTTGGAATTTTATCAACCTTAAACAGCAAAAATCTCGTATTCCTGGTAGAATGAATCACGAAGGGAAAACACTCGTTAATCCTCAACAGATTATTGAGTCTTTTGCAACCCACTTCAAAAGTGTTTTCCTTGAGGAGGAATATGATCTCGATAGCGATGTTTCGATGAATGATGAGTACTCCAAGATTAACAGCAGTTACTTACACGTTCCTATAATTACGCGAGTTCAAATTCTCAATGCTTGCAAAAAACTCAAGAACAAGTGGTCATCTGGACCTGACAATATTCCACCCAAGCTATTGAAAAAATCTATTGACAAATTATTGGATCCTTTAGTCGTCATTTTCAACCTGATTATTAAAAGTGGAAAATTTCCTGATATATGGAAATACTCACGTATATGTCCTATTTTTAAATCAGGAAAACCAACAGAAATAACAAATTATAGGCCAATTGCTTTAGTTTCTGCTCTTTCAAAATTATTCGAGATTCTTTTGGCGGACTTGATGTATGAACACACTCGTCACCTCATTACAGAAAACCAACATGGCTTCATGAAAGGTCGCAGTACATCGACAAACCTCTGTATATTTACGGAATTTGTTTCGAATGCTCTAGATTCAAGATGCCAAGTTGATGTTATTTACACTGATTTCAGTGAAGCATTTGACCGTGTATCACACAGCAGGTTATTAGATAAACTAGTATCTTTTGGATTCTCCAAAAACCTTATCAATGTATTGAGGACATACCTGAAAGACCGCAAACTTTATGTCGAATACGAAGGAGTTCAATCCTCACAGTTTATAGCTACATCAGGTGTGCCTCAAGGCTCAAATTTGGGACCCTTATTATTTTTGTTATTCGTGAATGATGTATGCTCCAATTTTGAGTGGAAATCCCTCATATTTGCTGAAGACATGAAAATTTTCAGAAGGATTAACGACTTATCGGATGCCATTTCCTTACAAAATGATCTGAATCTGTTGAAAAACTGGTGTTCAATAAATAAACTATCGCTCAATGTCAGCAAATGTAAGGTGATGACGTATTCACGAAAAAATAATCCTCTTATGTACCACTATGTCATCAATGATGAATCTCTAACACGAGTCACACAACACAAGGACCTGGGTGTCATATATGACTGCAAACTTGCCTTCTCAAGTCATTATGAAACAATGATCTCCAAAGCTATGAAATCCTTGGGTTTTTTAATTCGTACTTGTAGTGAATTTAAATCATTAGAAGCACTTTGTCAGTTATACTTTAGTTTGGTTAGAAGTAAACTGGAATACTGCAGTCAGGTATGGAATCCGGACCACCAACAAACAATTTCTGCTATTGAAATGGTACAGCGTAAATTTCTGAAATACTTATTTTACAAAAAATATAAAGTCTACCCCGAAAGGCACTGTAATTATGACCTTCTGTTGAATGAGTTCAAGTTCCAATCGCTGAAGAAGAGGAGAGAAATAGGTGATTTACTTTTTGTTTATAAAATTATACACAATACTATAGACTCCTCAGTATTACTTTCGCAGATCGATTTTAGTATACCCCGATTAGCCTCTCGGTATCAAGATACATTCCACATTAATGTGTCTAACACACAGCACCATTTTCATTCCCCAATCAATTCAATGTGCAGAAATTATAATAAACTTGGAACTGTTGATATATTTTTTCTCACCTCAAAACAATTTAAACAAACCATTTCCAGTTTAGTTCCTAACTAAAATTTTCACTAACTTTGATTATACCTAATTGAAATCACACTCAACCATATGTATAGTAATCTCTATTATATACTCCTGTAATTGGGCCTTGGCCTGCTGGATGTATTACAAATTAAATAAATAAATAAATAAATAAATAAACTAAAAGGTGTTCACAGTGCATCTCTGTCAATTTTGGTAGGTATGCTACAATCTTCCAGGCGGAGGTTTTCGCAATTGAATTGTGTGCTAGAGAGTTGACGAATAGACCTCTAGTAAACAAAAACAGCAGTATTCTATCAGACAGTCAGGCTGCTCTCGAAGCACTGAGCTCCAGCAAGATAAATTCCAAGCTTGTATGGAGCTGTATTGAATCCCTAGAATACCTAAGTGCTAACAACAGAGTTACTTTTTTGTTGGTGCCTAGACACCCCCAGGTAACAAGCTGACGTCATTTGTACGTCAATATATGGTCATTTATGGTCATTGACGTCATATGACCTCAAAATGACGTCATTTTGACGTACTTAATATGAGGTTATATAGACGTCCTTGATATGTCGTGAATATGACGTCATCTGATGGTCATTTTCATGACTAATTATGACCATCATTTATTGAGTCATCTACATCAAGGAAAATTCATAATCAAGAAGTTTTCCATCTCTGTTATATGAGAACGTTAGTAGTTATGTCATATAACATATATTATTATGTCACTCATCATATATTTTGCTTTATAATAATTTCTCCTCTAATCTGTGCGAGATGTGTGTTTTCGATGGTCTCTGAGATAATTGTTAATTATATACCTTCTGTGCAAAGTCGGTGCAAAGTATTCTCCCTATAGCTATTAAAAATATAAGGAATTTCACGTCATGAAAAGCTTATAACGTTGTTATTCCGGAATGCGAATTCAAATCAAAGCGGGAGAGTGCGTAGAGAACTGTACTTGATTGGTCGGCACGGACCTTGCGCAGACATGCGAACGTCGACCGCCAGCGCCAAGCCACAGCCGTCTTCAGAAGACGGCTGTGGCCAAGCCGTTCACTTTCGCTTCGCCGTTGCGGCCATGATGACCATAACAACAAAATAACAATACATAGAAGGCCATCATTATCATGTTATTCGGCTATCTATGTGGTGTGGTGTGGTGGTCATACTTAGGTATTCATATTCATGTATCAAAAGTAGTAGTATTTGAGGATGGCAGCATGGTCATTATTTTAGACAAGTGGTGCATGCCGAAAAAGCAGAATGTGAATTGGACGCCATTGAAGGAATACCATAGGATTCTGAGAAATCTCTCCAGTGCATCATCCGAATGGGATAAGTTCCCGATAAAAAGAGCATTTTATGAAACTGCGGTATTTATAGTACCTACCTATAATATTATTTCGTATTTAATGTGGTGAAGGAACATCAATATAATTATACAAAAAAAAATCTCATCTTTTCTGATAATATTGATACAACCCTAATACAACAGTGTTTTTTTCACCTACAGAAAATTTCGAAATAGCACAAAATGAACTGAAACATGCAAAAGATTTCAGTGATATAAATAATCGTAAAGATCAAGTCATTTTGACGCCATTAGGATGTCGTCATTTTGACGCCATTAGGATGACGTCATTTTGACGACATGAAAATTACGCCATTCGTCATTGACTTGGAAAGTCATATAAACGTCATTTTGGAAGTAATCCTGACGTCAGGCCTGACGTGATAAAGACGTAGAAATGACGTCAGCTTGTTACCTGGGCCAGGAGGTGGAGGGCATCGAGAAAGCCGACATCCTCACCAAACAGGAAAAAGACTCACGTTGAAACAGGAAAAAGACTAACGTTCTGATCTGGATTCCCAGGATAACCCATTAAACCATCAAAAATATAACCAGGCAAATCCTAGAATGCAGCAGGAGTGACCTGCGAATTTCGACAGAACTGCTGTCGTCTAAGCTACCACCTGAGAAGGATGGGTCTGACCAACAAACGGACTGTCGGTTCTGCTGTGTTGAAGACGAGACGGCTGAACACATATTATGTTCATGCTCTTGCTTAGAGGGACTGAGGTTCGACATATTTGGCTTCACCAACTCAATACCTATCGATTTCAGACAAATCCCACCTAATTCAACCATAGACTTTGTAAAAATATGTGGATTGTACAGTGAATTGTAACTTCTAGGGGTGAGTCACAATAGACCCATGGCCTTGGAAAATCATCAGGTATATTCTTGCACACCAAATGACAAAACAACATTAAACGTGTTTTGATACAAGATTATTAATAATGTGATTTAAATAATGTACAAGGTGATCATTTCTGCTAACTGATTGTTAGTTCAATCTACTCATACAGGGCAACTCGTAAAGAATGGGTTATCTTTGAACTACAGATAGTAAAGACCAAAATATGAAGATGTAGACGGCAAATGACTAATAAGAATGTTGCTGGTTTAGGAAATGGAGGGAATTCAAGGGGGAGATTTTATTTCGAAATTTCTATATAATTTGTGAGTTTTGATTGCATCACATTTTGTAGATTTGAGTTCTCTGACCTGAGGAATACGAATTTATATTTCATTTCGTGATTGCTCATGAAAGGCGCTGGTAGGATTCTGTTACTTTGGTAAATCACATCATATCTTCTTTGTCCATGAAACGATGATCAAAATAAGTTGAAAATATACGAGCCCGTTAATTTTTACAAAAAAATCTCATTTTCCAATTGTCTAATTAACGTTTTCTGTTTCGCTCTTGAAGAAAATTGTGTTCCACTTTCAACATTTTCAGTATTCTAAATTAAAAAAATTAGCGAAGTAACAGTGGAAAATAGGGCAGTAAACAATAATGACAATCACTATTAACGTCGAAGGCACACACAATTTCAAAATCAACATTTGACGAATGATATGAAGAAATTTAAAATAAAATTGTTTCACGAACACCTCATCTACAACATTTTCGAAAGACATGTTGCACTAAATCTTCTAAATCTTCATATTTTGGTGTTTTCCATCTCGTGTTCAAAGTTTGCTCCTTCTCAATGAATCACCCCGTATAACTTGATGGAACATTTTATCCATTTCCTTGTTATAAGGAAAGAGGACGTTGAAGTTCATGTCGTTGGATGAAAATCATGTATATTTCAATATTGTTGATAGGGAGGTATAGCCACCTGTGAGATTTTCATTATTTGTTGTGTTTCATTTCAGATTGCGCCTCAATTTGAAGATGTTTTCTTCAATTGTAAATGGACATTGTTGAATGAAAGTTGCGATAATATGTTCACACCTATACTAACAGAAGATGGATTGTGTTTTACATTCAATATGTTGGATAAGAGCGAACTTCTTCGTGATAAAGTGTAAGTTAATATTTTTTGTGTAGCACAACCATCGCAATAATTATCATCTAATATTATTTCAATCAGTTGGAATTATTGGATCTTCCTTTTATTCGATTGAGACCAGGAAAGATTCCCTCTTATTATGATATCTATAAAAAATAAAACCAAAAATGGTATTGAAGTTTGATGCAAACAGCCCTTTTGTCCCAAACAAGTCTCAGAAATACATTCTGAGAATTGAAGAAGATCAAACGGAACAAATAAATATTATAATCTCGAGATGAAATTCAGCCATAATGTTGATATTTTCTCTAGTTTATTGACAAACTTGCTCTTTTGGACTTGATTGATCACCTGGGTCATAATCAACTGCTTTTCGAAGAAGCTGATCATCACGAACCTCAGCTTTTTGGAAAGTATTGATGTTTTGTCGTCTAATGATAAATAAGATTGTAGGGAGTTTTAGAGATCCCTGGCGATTTGATCATTACGAACATACCAGGGAGATCGTATCATCAGTCTCGTGATTTTGTTTGATAATGTTTGTAAGCTGGTCTTATAAGAGCAAGCGGGGTGGCTTCAGACTACCGATGCATATAAATATTCAATTTTTGTCCCAAATCTGATTTCCTTCGTCTGCTTAGAAATGGATACTGGGCTTCTATAGTTAAATTCAGAAACTTGGTGAGTTTTCTGTCAATGCTCACACCTGAGCATTCAACTTGTGAATACCATGTAGAATTATTGCTCTTGGTCAGATTGGATGAATTTGGGTTACTTCAAATGCGAGTTGTTTATTCAACGTTATGTACAGTCGCATTAAAAAATAAGCGAACAGCAGATTCTCTCAAACGGATCTTAGAATTTCCGGGAAAATAGCCCCAATATATATAGTTTTATTCTAATCTGCTTTTATGAAAAGAATTATAATGTACAGTTGCATTAAAAAAATGCGTACAAGTATATTACAGAGAGGAATTGACGTCACCCTATTCTGCATAAAACGGGCTATCGGGAATGATTGTCTACCAAATGTTGACAGTAAAGTTGTCATAGGTTCTCAAAAACACAAAGCGTTGGCTGAGCCAGTGTTACACAACTAGAACTAGGATCCCGAAATCCTCTCTTTTCAATACTTGTACGCTATTTCATTGAATACGACTGTACATATTACCAATTCATTTTATTTCCTTGTTTTTCACCAAGTTGTTAACAATGCGATTGTTTGTGTAGAAACATATATCCGCAGGATAATACATATTATAATCTACTAGGTATCTTCTTTATAGGTTTTTACACGGAGATTATATGAGTCATGGCAGAAATGCAGAAGGTTGGACTCTGGAAGATGGGTATCCGAAGACAGCTAAGAAAGACACGTTCCCGAGAAGAGCGTTATCAGCAGGATTTTCGGCAGGATTATTCTTAGTCCTGAAAGCATACGAGCCTGATCTCGACTATATTTGCAGAGGACCTGTACAGGGATTCAAGGTGGGTACTCTCAATTAATAATTGAAATAGTCGAAATACTGAGCTACCTATGATATTACGCATGCGAAGAGTATGTGAGTGGGTAGTAGGTACTCATTGAATAAAATTTGGAAACATTGGGATAATTGCCGACTTGACCCGGCCGTTTTTTGATGAAAATCCATAGATGATGTAAACAACTTCACACACGATGAGATTTCCACATTATTTTTAGTGGAACAACATGTTTCTCTGATTTTTTTTGATTGACTCGGCCGTTACACAGGCTAGTAAATGTCCCTCTTTCGGAAGTAAATTTCAATAAAGAACTCAATATCATGAAACAGATTGCAGTCAACAACGGATACAACGTCAATTTGATAGACAGTATTCTTTCTGAGAAACTTCATAATTAAACTATTCAAGAAGTTCATCCTTCCATCAAGACTAATAATCAAAATTATAGAACTTAAACCTATTTCGAATCTTCAACTGAAAAATCAGCTTCATTTCTACATAAACAGGACTTAAAAGTAGCATATAGAACAAATAACACGTTGGGAAGGTTCATCAAAAATAATAAAGAAAAAACTTCTGAATTCAAAAAATCAGGGGTATACAAACTCAACTGTGGATCTTGTCTTGAGATATATATCGGTCAGGCAGGTCGTACGACTAATCAGCGCATTCATGAACACATGGTGAATTTCTTAAGAAAGGAAACAAATTCAACATACGCCAATCATATATTACTCAACGATAAATTAGAGCTCAATAGTTCACCACTGTTGAATTTGTTTTCCTAGTAGGTGATAAAATGTATTTGCTATCAATCTTTTCAAGTTAATTCGGTATACTGTATTTGAATGTAGGTATTGTGTCTAATTACCGAAAATGAAGCTTTATCGAACCTGTTCACAGGTAACTAATCCTTCAGGCTGGGAAAGTGGGAAATATAATTTAAGCAAGCCAGGGTCAGTTCAGGTCATTGTACCAGTATACCACCTGACGAAGCTACTGTGTTAGCGAGACATGTCGTGTGTTTGAGAGTTTTGTGATAATCTTATGGTTCGTGAAGTTTTCACATTTGCTATGGACTTCCATCAATTATATACAGGGTGATTCACATAAGAACCGACATAGAGCAGGGGCATGTAGGGAGTCCCAAAATATGGCAATTTAACGCAACTTACCTCTATACCAAGTTGCTTCCCTAAGGAGTTATAGGCTTTGGAAGTGAAGTTATAAATTTTGAAAAAAATCAATATCTCCGTTATTCTTGAACTTGAAGCAACCAAATTTGATACACTTTGTGGATGTATTTAGGGCGTTACTTGACAGTAACTTGAGTTCAATTGGAATTTGTAAAGGGGGTATACCGGGTGGCGCACCATTAATATTCAACATAATTTTGTTAACCCTTGATGGATTTGAAGAATCTTCGCTTTGTTTTGTGGAAAAATCAATTTAAAAACTTTTCTTAGTCCATTATTTTCTCGACAAACCTCATCATTTTCATCAAAAACTCGAATAACTGAAAACGCGTGTGTTATTTAAAATCATCGAAAATTCAAGAGTTGACTATGAAAATAAACGTCAAACTTGACAATGAAGAAGGTAAGTTGTTCAAATGAGTATTTTATCGATAAACAATTGTTTGTTCTGGTTGTTTAAGTTTTTTGTGTTTATTTTGGTTAGTTGTTCATCCCAGTTTTTCACATTTTAGTATCTGTCCTTACTTTACGTATTTTGTTACGTATCTAAATAATAATTTGCCAGCCAATTCCTATTGATCACAATAAATGACCTACTTTCTTGTGGTACGTTTATTTTCATAGCCAACTTTTGAATTTTCGATGATTTCAAATAACACACCTAGAGCGCGCGATTTCAGTTATTCGAGTTTTTGATGAAAATGATGAGGTTTTTTGAAGAATTAATGGACTAAGAAAAGTTTAAGAATTGAATTGCCCACACAACAGAGCACATATTTTCGAAATCCATCGAGGGTTAACAAAATTCTGTTGAATATTAATGGTGCGCCACCCGGTATACCCCCTTTACAAATTTCAATTGAACTCTAGTTACTGTCAAGTAACGCCCCAAATACATCCACAAAGTGTACCAAATTTGGTTATTTCAAGTTCAGGAATAACGGAGATATTGATTTTTTTCAAAATTTATAACCTCACTTTCAAAGCCTATAACTCCTTAGGGAAGCAACTTGGTATAGAGGTAAGTTGCGCTAAATTGCCATATTATGGGACCTCCTACATGCCCCTGCTCTATGTCGGTTCTTATGTGAATCACCCTGTATAACGACCGAGTCAATTTGAACTCTGTATCGCTCGTAGTTTCCGAGATGCCTATATTCGCGAAATGCACAACAGGTGCGACATCTATGTTTATTCAGTTGAACTGATATAAAGTATATTAGGTATTTCTATCCATAAGTGGTAGTGTATCTGATTTCACTGTTTTCGCCTTATTATTAGATTTTTGGACAACTAATTGAGTTGACGGATATTCTTTAATGAAGATTGTTTCAAAATGAGTGAATTAACACGGGCTGCAGAAGTCAGGAAAATCAATACAGGCGTATATTTGCTCAGTTGCTCAGTGTCCCACACTCCCACAGACAACATTTCTCTGCATTATTTTCCAATTAAAACGAAGATTTAAACAAGAAGTGGCAATTTTCATTAGAAATTGGAAAATCTATTACAAATTGAATGTATGTTTAAAGTGAGAATTTCTTGGAGACCGATTTTATCAGAGGTGAATATTTGAGGTTATGTAAAGGGTCCCTTTTTAGCATATGAAAAATAAATACAATTCACTTTATGGAGATCACAATTCGAAGTAATATTTTATTCGTGTGGTGGTGAAGTTAGAGCACTTGTTTGCAAACATGCATAGTCCAAATATTCACTGATTCTGACAGCTGATATTCCCATTTATCCAGCTGACATAGGATAATATAACTAGCCTTGAAGACGGCTTCGCCTTCTTTTATTAGCGTTTGGCGAATACCTACGTAGGCAGAAATGTTCGAGAAACTCAATTCAACCTTCAAAATTTTCAACAATTCAGTTGAATTTAAATGAAGACAAAATCGAACACAATGGTCTCTTATGGAAAAATGCAGCTGATCACCATAATACTGTTTCGCGCTCAAATTCTGTGCGCCATCTAGCGGAAACGAATTTCGCGAATACTGGCCCTCCTTTTTTTGCGCACACTGTATAGAGGGTGATCTCCATTTTCAGATACTCCTCCACCACCCAGCAGAGGTACCCAGAGTGGGCACCCAATACTTCCGCGCGCCCCTGAACCAAGAAGTGGTGGTCTCTGTCAAACCGGACATGATGACGACAGCGCCCGGCCTGCGGAACTACGACCCGCACCGCAGGCAATGCTTCTTTCCCTCCGAGCGGTACCTGGCGTACTACCAGAGCTACACGCAGCAGAACTGCCAGGTGGAGTGCCTGACCAACTTCACGTTGGCGAAGTGCGGCTGCGTGGCCTACCACATGCCACGTGAGTTCAACGGAGTATTTAAATGTACAGGGTGTATCTCTCCTATAGGACTTTTTAGTGCTCGTGGATAATGTGCATCCATTTGCACAAGTACAGGGTGATTCACCATAAATGTCCCCCTCCCTCTAGCTCAGTTATTTTCGAACCGATTTCAGAATTTGAAATATCATCTTACATGATTTTCGATAAAGTTTTTTACCGCTACATCAGAAGATACAGGGTTCTCGGAACACACGATCTAAAGGATACAATTTGAGGTTTTCAAATGGAACACCCTATTTTCATTGTGTTTTTAGATTCTCTCTGAAAAGTTGATTTGATCAATGTATCATACTTTGGGTCTAGCCGTTACCACCGATACAACAAGGCCAGCAGGCCAGTGTTTTATTTTATCGCTTTTCGACCAACGCGTCAGTTCGTGTTGATTCATCGATGATTCACGTATGTTTTTGAAACGGTCCCGAATTCTTTTGTTGTTTATTCATCAAAATAATTGGCGGAAAAATTACTGTTTTGTAAAATATTTTGTGTTGTGATCGGCGAAATAACAATGCCTTTCAAGTGTTGTGTTCCCTTTTGTCGGGGGAATTGTGTGGGTGGTTCAAAAGTTCATGCTTTTAGTTTCCCGTTGGACGAGGAGCTATCGAAAATGTGGGTATATGCAATTCACCGCGAGGATTTTACTCCATCTAAGTTCAGTAGTAAACAGATCTTAATTTATAATGATGAATTAATAAAAGAAGACAATTACTCTCTCATAAAAAGTATAAGTAGGGGAAAAATAGAAAAGCTTTGATTGTGCAGTTAGTTTTGTATTCGTATATTATAGTCAACAAAATCATCGCTGAATTCGAGGAAATTTTCTTGGATGTTCATAATAAACGGGCATTTTTAATTCTCATTCTCAAATTTCTTCCTGAAAACGGTCATTTGCCTCGTGGCAATGAATGCAGAATCCATTCCAATGATCAAATTGCAACTATCATATTAACATGAACTACAAACACTATACTCAAAAAGGTAGAGCTGCATTTATCGTGATATTTATCATGAAGATATTTGACTAAAGAGTTCCAAATTACACCTTCTTTTTCACCTGTCTTCTGGATGGCATTTAGAACAAATTTCAATTCTTTTTTCATCATATTGGACAATTTATATATAATTCAACTATAAATATGATTTTCTTGAGATTAATCCATATTTAGTGAAAAAAAGGAAGAATATCATTCAAAATATTGGCGTGTGTAATGTCATTCGAAAGCAATCTATTGACATTTTTGATTTGGCGTATTTTGATTGACTATTGAATAAATGGTCGTCATCTGGAATGCTTGTTCACTAATAATGAAAAACTCGCCATGAAAATCATATTTCCTGTTGAATTTTCTATATAAAAATGTGCCATCGAAGTACATCATGAGTATATAAAGTGTCCAATGACAAAATAAGAGCAAGTAGCTTCAAATGCCCCCAACACAAGGGGAGAAAGAAGGCGAAATTTCGAACTTTTTCTTGAAATATCTCAATAAATAGTGGTTTGTTCACATTTTCATTATGAAATTCTGTTTATCAGACAAAAATACGTGAGTACCGAAAAGAATTTTCAAAAAAAACCATCGCATGATAAATGCAGTTTTACCCTTGAAAATTACGGTTTCAAGTGTAACGATCCATTTGGGTGCAAAATCCAACAACAGAAAATTGAACACATTCACTGGTTATTTTTTCAGGTAATAGGAATTCTCCAAGATAAATATGGGTAATTGGAACAAACGGCATGTCAATCAAAATTAAATACATTTTCCACAATTTTCTTTCGATCAATCTCACGATAAGTTCATGTTCTGCGGGCCCTGTATAAGTAGGTGTGAAGTTTACCTTCACCACAATTTTTGCCAATATATTTAATTGCTGTAGGTGGATATTTGTGTTCCATCCTGGTCTTTGCTTCAAAACTTCGTTTTTCCATAATAAAATCGAATGGGGTGCGAAGAAGGGCTCAGTTGACGACTGGCATCCTTTTTTAAACGGAAGCCCTTCAAAAAACAGCAAAATCGGCTCAATGATGATCTAAAACTAAAATCGAAATCCGCGGTCGCCTTATAGCGCTATAAGCGCTTGTCGTTTCGAGCCGCTGGTTGGGCCTCACTAAGTGACGTCACCCACGGAGCATGCAGGCCTTGTTGTATCGGTGGTAACGGTCTAGCGGGAATGATTACAGAGATATAGGGTGTGAAAAATCGAGATTTTTCAACTTTAGGATTTTTTTTGTGATGAAACTATTCATTATCGGTCAAAACGGCTTCCATGTTCTCATCCTAACTTTCGATTTACTATTTACTGACATTCAATAATTCAGTATTCTGAATCTTGAACCACCATATAAATATTCCAATTGAATGTCAGTAGATAGTAAATCAAAAGTTGAGATAGGGACATAGAAGCTGTTTCGACCAATGATGAAAAGTTTCGACAAAGTTGAAAATTCTCGATTTTGAACACCCTTTATATCTGTAATCATTTCTGCTAGACCCCAAGTGTGATACATTGATCAAATCAGCTCTTCAGGGAGAATCTAAAAATCCAATGAAATTCAGGCATTTGAAATAATCAGATAGTACTCTGTATATCGTTTGTTCCGAGTACTCTGTATCTTCTGATGCAACGGGAAAAAAATTCTGAAAAATCATTTCAGATTATTCTAAAAATTTTCAAATCGGTTCAAAAATAAGTGAGCTAGAGAGGGGACATTCATGGTGAATCACCCTGTACATCTTATGGATATACTATGGATATCCATCATGGATATTCTGAATATCCATAAGATATCCGAAGGAAGCTCTGGTATATCCTATGGACGTCCATAGGATGTGACAGTGTGACATTTTTGGATGTCTCAAAGAATTCTAGCAATTTTTTAGCAAGATGGAAACATTCCCGACTTGTAAGAGATGGTAAAGAGCTTGCAGAGAATCGTGGTCAATTCTGGTGCACACTCATTGAGAATAATGGGTAGAAGTCCATCAGGACCATTGGACTTATTCGTTTCGAGATCGAGCAGAACGTGTCTGATATGTGTCTGATAGTGCGTTGACAATTTTGAGAATTCGACTTTCAACGAGTGTAATGTTAAGAGATATATAATGATCTCCTGCTCCACCCATTTTGCAATTTCCATGTGAACTGTCACTGCTCCTTCGTTAACCCAGCTCCCAAAGTGCCGAATTCTCAGAGAGAATAAAATAGAATAGACTAGTTTATTCATCCAAAAGACCATTATGAAATGATAAAGGCAAATTCAATTTACAATGGTTACATATATGTACAGTGGTAAATATAGAAATTCATGAATATTACAAAACAAAGTATGTATAACATATGAGAACAGACATTTACATTACTAAACTGAAATGAAAATAAAAATATAAATATATAAAACTAGGAATACATTGACTCAAATTCTGAGGATTGTGTACATGGTTTGAAGTCTATGAAGTCGTCACACGAGTTGTTAACCTTGAACGCCATTGCACATTGAATGAAATGAGCAGTGGAATATTTTTCTTGATAGGTACCTGATGAATGAGTTACCTAATTTATAATTATGCTATGCTTATATTTCCAGATGAAGAATATACACCGATATGCAGTTCAGGAAGCCAGATGTGCATGTTCCTAGCAAAAAGTAAGTTATGTATATGATTGATTACCTACTGCAAGCTAAATGAATAATAATTAGTATGTCAGAGATATAGTGGTAGACCAATGAATCATCTAGAATCCAGTGTATCTCAAGACAGAGATTCTTTAGGTGAATCGATTGTCACCAGATATACAAGATAACTGTTTGGCTAGCTAAGCCTCATCAGTTGCGCTGAAAATCGATTCAAGAAAAAAACTGCAATAACATATAGTGGGGTTTTTTGAATGCAAAAGATTGGGTAGTAGCGATTTTCTAGAATGTTGTTAGGTTTGGGGCCCTTATGAAAAATCCAAGTTTTCGACCTTGAGGCGCATGCTCTTGGGTAAAAAAATTTGCATTCTTGATAAATAAAAAACGGTGGCTTTCACGACAGAACATGTTCCATACAAAAGTTGAAGAAGACAAAATTTTCTACATTTTTTGTGGTCAAAATTGTTTTGTAGGACCACATATGTTAGGAGTTGCAGCTCCGTGAAATTTGACTATTTGAAAATAGAAAGCAGAAACTACATCTTATTGGTTGAGTTTTATTTCATTATTCTTATTATACATCATTATATTTTTGAAAAATCGTGAAAAAAAAAACTCAAAGGCACCTCAATATTATCAATTGAGAGTATTGTCATATTGAAAAGGAATTTCCTCATATATATTTATGAGCACAAAAAAATAGATATATATATATATATATAGAGAGAGAGAGAGAGAGAAATACATTGAGAATTCGCATTCTCCATGTAATTCTCGGTTTATTCAACAGAAAACAACTACTTGCCTGGCTATATGTCACGACGAACAATGAATTATATCTATTGAACACACACGATAAGAATTTGAAATCAAAAACTTCTGAAGTAGAGAATTTGCATTCTGCTTCATATAAAGATATGCACATAATATCATTCTGAATATGCAACAGGAAACAACAACTTTCCTGGCTATTTGCCACGTCGAACATTGAATTATATCTGTTGAACATCCAAAAAGATAGCATGAAAAAATCAAAATCCTCTGAAATTAAGAATTGACATTATTCCTCAAATCGAATAGAGAGATAATGTCAATTCTCAATTTCAGATGATTTTGATTTTTTCATGCTCTCTTCTTGGATATTCAACAGATATAGGTAATTCAATAGTCGACGTGGAAAATAGCCAGGAAAGTAGTTGTTTCAGATGATTTTGTTTTCGAATTCTTATCGTGTGTGTTCAATAGATATAATTCAATGTTCATCGTGGCATATAGCCAGGAAAGTAGTTGTTTTTTGTTGAATGAACCGACAAAGAATTGATATTTTCGTCACATATGGAGAATGCAAATTCTCAATGTATTTCTTCACATATAATATACAGTCTGTCCAAGATAAGGTTGAACAGCATGGGGATCTCGGAAACGGTAGGAGATACGAAGTCGCTTGAATGGAGAAAAAGTTGCGCATTCGGAGGTTCATATCAAGAGCCTTCGGAAATTTCGAAAATTATTTTTAATTTTTGAGTTATATCGAAAAAAGTGAATTTTTGGAATTTCTATTTTTTTTCTCCGTTATTATTAGAGATACAGAAAAACTGAAAATACTTTTTCATAGCAACTTTTGATGACGTTTAACGTGCTGATACCGATTTTCCTATGCGACGTTTCGTATCCGTAGAACCATCATCAACTTTTGTTTTTTGAATTCGGTCCTGATAATTTTTTTACAGGTTCTGGAAGGTTTTTTCATTCTGAATTCAACCATATATTATACAAGGTGATTCGAAAGTGTTTCGACCTATTTCTATCCATCATCAATGTTTTTTCGAACTTCCAAAGGAAAAAAGCCATCAGTTCCACTTATTCCTGATCATTTAGTGTCAAACTTGATGATCAGTTATTCAATACTGAGAAGTGAATGAAAAATATTTCACTACATCATTCGATCAATGCAGCGCTTAAAATTGTTGATGAATTCTTACACGAATTACTTTAACAACTTAATTTTGACAATACCTACAGAGACATTCATTACGAATGTTCGAAATGATAACCATCATTTTCTGAACAAAGATATCCTCTTCTCACAGTTGCTTCTGAGACATTGCTAAGAATTTCTGGGGTTATACTATTGAATGCTTCGAAGACACTGTCCCTTAGTTCTTCTTCATCATTGAAGTTATTTGCGTATACAAAGTTTGATATGTCCCCTAAGAAAATATCCAGCTGTGTCAAATCAGGCGACCGCGCCGGCCAAGGGATAAAAACGCACGGACTTCTCTGGAATTATGTACCGGAGCGCCATCTTGTTGAAACTAACAGTTCTGAACTCCCGCAATCGGTAAATCATCCAGAGCTTCCTGAAGATGATTCTCAAGCAAATTTCTATAACGTTCGGAAGTCTGTGTTTCATGCTAAATAGAAGAACCAATAATTCGTGTACCAACTATTGCAACCCACATATCATATTAAAGCCGAAACGGTGTTGGTGTCTCGCTGTAATGTATAAATGTTCATTTTCTCGTGAACAATAATGTGTATTTTTTCTATCGAAGATAACATGATTAGTGACCATGCTTTCATCAGTCCAGATTCGAGGGAAATCTGCAAAATTTTGACATTTCCTGGTATACCACTCACAGAATGTCCTGCGCCTTTCGTCATCGCCTGGTTTTAGCGCTTGACATTATTCTGAATTTGTATGGATAGAATTTTCGTGTTCGCAAAATGAAATGGGTTGTTGATTGAAACCAGTTGATGAGGTATTAGTGTATTGACTAATTTTCCTTCAAAATAAGTTGAACTGATGTAATTTCTTTTTGGAATTTCGAAAAAACATTGATGATGGCTAAAAATAGGTCGAAACACACATAAATCACCTTGTATAATACATGGTTGAATTCAGAATAAAAAATCCTTTCAGAATCTTTGAAAAAATTATCAGGACCGTATTCAAAAAACAAAAGTTGATGATAGTTCTACGGAAACAAAACGTCGTATAGAAAAATTGGTATCAGCACGTTAAACTTCATCAAAAGTTGCTATAAAAAAGTATTTTCAGTTTTGCTGTATCTCTAATAATAAAGTAGAAAAACAATAAAATAGAAATTCCAAAAATTCACTTTTTTCGATACAATTCAAAAACTAAAAATAATTATCAAAATTTTCGAAGGCTCTACCGTTTTCGAGATCTCCATGCTGTTCAACCTTATCTTGGACAGACTGTATATCCATTTTTTTGTGTTCATAGATATATCTGGGAATTTTCTTTTTCAATACTTTCACCCAATCAACGGGTTCAAACTTGAACGATGGAAACTTGTTATTTTTATAAACCTCAATCGCAGATTCGTGATTAGGTTTTTTCAAATCAGAATTTCTTGCCACATCCTGTATGATGAATATCAATAAAAAAAAGTATTATTCTACTTTTCGTGAACAACGTTAAAGATGAAAAGTAAGTATATCGCATTTTTTGATCAGGATTAGTTGATTATGATTTTAGAGCGTTACAACAATTGATTTTTACTTCATTTTAGTACGTTTTGATTGTCCAGGATGGTTTTTGTCGGTATCCTGGTCGTAGTTGTCTGTTCCTGATCGTAGTTTTGGTTCGTAGCCGAATAAATAGATTTAAAAAAAGCAATCGGTTCCAATAACAAAAAACTGTAACCAATGAAATAGAAAACACTCAACAGCTGACTGGAACGGGCATTATTTCAAACATAGATTTCATATAATATAATTATGATTTCTTTATTCTTCCACTATACAGGGTGACATAGAAAAAAAGTACATTGCCTAGTGCCACACAATAGAGAATACTAAAATAAGAAAAAAAGTTCCTATGAACATGGGTCCGCAAGGCCTTCGGTTAAAAGATACTGGGTGTTGAATTATAATTTATTGTTGGGTTTTCTTTGAATATCTTTAGCCAGAGACGCAAGAAATAGATTAAATGTGGTATACATGAGATTTTTATCATGCTAAATTCAAATATGATCTTAGTTTTTTGATGACTGATAGAGGGCGCTACATACAGGGTTCCATACCTATTGAATCGGTCGTAACTTTTTTGCTATACACTGTATGTCATTTTCGACGGAAAAAAATTGTTATCCCTTCTTTCATACTCAAGAAAGGTATACCTTGTCCAAGTCGCTAGAAGCAATGGTTCCAGTACAAATGCATCTAAAAGCCGACAATGCACGCAAATTATTCAGAAAGTGCCAAAGTAACTTTTGCAAAAACAATGATAAATACTTCAACAATTACATTTTAATGGTATGATGAAAAATATGATTAATTAGAACAAAACATTAAGTTTTCAGAAGATGTTCAAATTGTTGCCCTTGTACTTCAATACATTTTTCCATTCTTCTTCTCAATGATTGACGGCATCTTTGAAATATTCCTGGGTTATTACGAAATCTATCTGCCGATTCCATAATTCTTATCCATAATTGTTCTTCATTATGTATTTCTACTGCATAAACTTCATTTTTTATAAATCCCCAAAATGAAAAATCGAGGGGATTAAGGTCGGGACTACGAGCTGGCCAGGGTACAGGCCCCCCTCGACCAATCCACGTATTTCCAAATCTCCTGTGCAAATATCCCCTTGCCACTCGAGAAAAGTGAGCTGGCGCCCCATCATGCATGTAATACATTCTTTCAATAATGGCCAATGGGACATCCTCTAATAATGTGTTCAAATCATTCTCCAAGAAATTTCGATACAGTGCACCTGTCAATCGATTGGGCAATCGAAATGGGCCAATTAAGTAATTTTCAAAACTTCACAAACGATAAGATTTTCACAAAATTCGCAAACACACGACATGTTTCGCTAACACAGTAGCTTCGTCAGGTGATATACTGGTACAATGAACTAAACCAACGTTGGCTTAACCAACGTAGGTGATCCATAACTTACAGTGGAGGTGATATAAATCAGGAGGGGTGAAAGAACTTACAGTCACAACTCCACCACATAAAAATTGAATTTCAATTTTCCATAAACCTTCCC